TGATAAACTTTATTTTAATATAAAAATAAAAATTATTTCTTATTAAAATTATAAATTTTTATATAGAGAGAAATTTTCAATTTTCACTATATTTTATTAGTAAATTTAGCTTCTGAGTCATTACTTTTGGTCATCACTGTATATTAGATTATTAAATATTATAATATTATATTCTGACAAACTAATTGATAATTATTATCAATATTTAATAATCAAATAGTAATGTTAATAATTAATTATCAATAATTTTCAAAATTTGATAATAATTTTATTCAAACTCATATTTTTTTTCAATAAAATAATATATAGTTCATATAACTAGTAATATAAAAATCAGAATCTCTCAGAAAGATATCAAATATATCAAATTGATTCACACTATTATCAAATCACAATTTAATTGAGTATTTATAAAATAAATTAGAACATTATATCAAAAAAACTGGTTTGAATATAACAAAATTTTATGCAGAATTGAAAACGAATTCTATTTTGCGACTTCTTTTCCAAATCAATGAACATATCATATTATGAAAAGGAATGAATTTACCTTAGAGAATAAAAAAATGCCACTACACATTTAAATATATAAAATTTAGTATAGGTCAACAAGTTATCAAATATTAACTGTTACATATAGCAGCTAGAAGTATTTGCTAAAGTTAAAAGATTATATAATATATATAATAAATGAATTTTTAAAAGATAAATGATATTTGGAATAGTGCAGAATAACAAAGACATATGCGAGCAGCAAAACAAAGGTATCATTTATTAATACTCAGTTCTAGAAGATCCTTCAAAATCGCAACATTACTTATTCCAAATCTTTCAATGGGTAAACGTTTCTCAAAAGATCTCTTTTCACCACTTCGTTAGGAAGAATGGCGCTGACATAATTGAAGATTTTTCCTGTCACGCAGGCCTCATGCAAATCCCGTAGATCAAATTGAGGAGTTTTTATTAATTTGTTATACAAATTTCTAAGTTGTCTATGCTCATCTTTTGTGCGACAATTCATAAAACCATAATCAACATACACAGGACGTGCGAGATCTACGGATTCGCTCAGCACATATTGTTTGAGATCATAGACGCTCATTCTTTGTTGTCTGTATCCAGGAACCTCAATTCTGTTTTCTGATAACCAACTGCCGTTGTCACATTTTCTCTTCAACAGGTCCACTACTGATCCAGACACGTAGGCATCATGGAATTCATCGATCTTGCAACCTTTTTGAATGATAAGCTCTCGATACAATGCACACAACCGTAACTCTTCCATCTGTCCTAAGTAGTCTTGATCAACTTTACACGAACAAAACCCAAATTCAATCCAATTCACCTCTTCAATCATTGGAATACTTCCTCTGAGCATGGTCCAGTAGAAAGCAACTACTCTAGATTTCGATTCCGGAAGAGACTTGATGGAAACTGATTGATCATGTTCGGAGAGGTACGGTTTGACCATTACATATAAATTATCTACTGAGGATATATCGAAATTTTCGCCCTCATATTTATGCAGACCCTGCAATAAATGTTCATTTTTTAAGAACCATTGGTAGTATCCGCTATTTTGGCCTGCATCATCATATGCCTTTTTGATGTTAAGTGGTAACTCGCCATTTTCCCACCATGAATGGATCTGCGAGGCACTGCAACCTATAAACTTTATAAGGCCAATATATAAGCCCAGAAGAAATCTTTGATCCCAGGGATTCATGCAGTTGTTAAAGCCGTATTCATATAGCACCGCTATTTTCGTCGGTATTTTATTGGCCAAAACATTTTTAACAAGAGTATCCGCAGATCTCGGCGGACAGTCGAGTACATGATTGGTGTAGTCTTTCTTTTGACACAACGGGCTACAGTAATATTTAGCTTGACATCTCGAACAACACCTATTTGTAGGTTTTTTACATAGACTACATTCCATTTTTTACAATATTCATAACTTGAAAAAGAATTTTTATTAACTCAAAACATTTTTATACACGAGGCATGCACTTTACGCGTTTTGGCATATACATGTAACATGTACATGTACATGTACATGTACATCCAAAATAAACCACTTCAAGCCTGTCAGCTGTTGTTGATTTGTCGCACATGTAATTGTTTGAAACAAGGCAGTGCGGAGTTAAAAATGCATGTACCTTGTACCTTTAGTACATGTACTTGTTAATTTAGAACACCTTTAATCCTTAATAACTTATCGTCTTCAACGAAATGACTGGCTTGAGTACATAATCATAAAAAGAATAAAATGTAAATTTACAACTTTAATGAATTTATAAATAGAAAAGATATTGGTATCGGAGGATTTGGCGAAATGAAATTTGATGGTTGCGCGCTAAAAGACTACGAAAATTTTAAGAAAAATAAACAAGGAGTTGATTAACAAGGTGACTATGTATTTTATAATTAAAATATCAATGGAAATATCGTTAGTTATAATTTCTTATTAAATTTAACATCTCAACCCGTGTATAAATTTATTATTTTTGAAAATATAAAAAATTTTCGTTCGTTCTACTATGTGGTATTATAGTTACAAGTGTAATACTAATTCTTCAATCTTGTAAATTCTTTGTTTTGAATTATCGTTATCCCGTGCCCCTGCTGCTTTATCGTATTAATTAAGAAATCGACAGATGCATAAGGTTACTGTGTAATGCGAAAGTTTAAATGAGATTTAATTAACGTTAAGGAATTTTATTTTAATACAATGTTTTTTTTTAGCAATCGAGACAATATCGTTTGCCTTTTTCTGGGGATCCACTAAAGCCGGGTAGTTTCAAGTGACATAGAATTCGATCCGGATCGTATCATGTGATTCATTCGTATCATGTGAAAAGTAATTATTGGCTGAACATATTATCAAATAATACAAGACAATTAAAATTAGCGAACACAAAAAATTAATAATAATTAAGAAATACTGAGACAATTATAGCAAATGTATAATAATAATTATATATATGTAATTATTTAAATTTAATATTTTTTATTATTAAAAACTAGAGTTAACAATTTATCTAAATATTTTAGTTGCTTTTAAATCATCTTTATTTTCAATTTTCTAATACTTATCCCATATACTTTTCATAAATTTACCAATTTGAAGCCTTCATATCTTTGCTTCTTTTTTCACTCAAGTCTGAATTGACTCAGATAGCTCAATTATTTCATGATATTCATATACTTCAAAACCAATCTCTTTAAATATCCATTAAAATTTGTTTCAAATCTTAATTTTTAATAGCTTATTAGAACTAAAAATGTGCTGATAAAGAATATATTGATATGAAAGCAAATAATAATGAAAAAATATAATTATATTAAAATACAGTGGTCATCATAAATATTCGGAATTTTTGATATAGTGCATATAATAATGAAAAATTGTCAAAATTGCCTGATA